TATCATAATGCTCAGAGCCATTCTCTCATTGATAAATATTTCAGTAGCATAGTAAAATGCCTACACCATAGGCAGTGTAATAGTGCACATCCTCATAAGCATGTAGTCCTTTCTTCCTTTTAAAACATCTAGTCAATAGAAATGAAATACAAGTAACAAATACAAGCCACATACATAATTAAATTTCCTTTAATAGTCTAGTCTTGATATCCACATTAAAAAAGTAAAGAGACAGGTAAGTTAATTCTAATGATATATTTTATCATTTGTAAAATATTTGAAATATTTCATTTCAGAAGTAGCAGGACTGAATTAAAAAAACTGAAGTATTTCAAATCTTCTAACCTCTATAATAAACACCTAACATTTACTGTGTATAAATCTCATATGATTTATATTTGTCATTATTAGTGCTTGTCTCTTTCTGGTGACATTAACTGCTTGAATTAAATATATATAATTTTAGACAGAATTTATAACATTAGGAGTCTGTCATCAATATTATACTAATACTTATCAAACTAACCAGAGCAATTTTGAGAACTAGACCAGAAGGCCAGATTTCTGCTACTTCAAAAGAAAAAGAAAAAAATATATATTAAACTAGTATTTTGGCCAGAGAAAAATTCTCATCATTCTAGAATCAAAGCATCTTACTTTGAAAGACAAATGTATTAAATTTCAATGTTCTGCTCCTAAATGTACCTTCCAAAAGACAGAGAAATATAGATAATGTTAAGTAGGTTAAAAAATTCTGACAATAAGGATGAGTACCTTTGGAAAAGGTTCAGCAGGTTATCTGATTAACCTCCTGCCTCTAAGTCAATATAATATGGATCCAAGATCCCGGAAAGAGTCTCAATAAGAGAGGTCTATGCCAGCTCCTGTCACGTTGACCCAATGAATTGATTTCAAAGAATATTAAAATACTTAAATAGTACCTTTTGTTCTTGTCCTTACCCTACCATGTCCTCAAAATCCTACCCTTTTTCTGGTTTGTTTTTTGAGACAGGGTCTCACTCTGTCACCTGGATTAGAGTGCAGTGGTATCATAGCTCACTGCAACCTCGAACTCCTGGGCTCAAGCAATCCTCCTGCTTCAGCCTCCCGAGTAGTTGGGACTGCTAGGCATCACCATGCCTAGCTAATTATTCTATTTTTTGTAGAGACAGTGTCTCAAACTCCTGGCCTCAGGGGATTCTCTCACCTTGGCCTCCCAAAGTGCTAGGATTACAGGTATGAGCCACCATACCCAGCTGAAATTCTACCCTTTATTTAATATCTCAGGTTAATTACTGTTTCTTTCAAAAAATTGCTAGGCTGCAACAGCCAAAAGTATTTATAACATTTAATTTGGCAATTAATCAGTAGCCATTTGGTGCCGTCCCTTATACTATTTTATTCAATTATCATGTAAATCTTTGGTTTCAGAGTTCATGCCTGGGAACTCCTCTCTCCATCCAGGTTATAATAGAATAATTCAAGGGCAAGGACCATTACCTTAAATATCTATGTGCCTTAACGTGGGATATTTTGTACACAACAAACACCTAATAAATCTTTACTGATATGCTGAGTCAGCAAAACAGCATTTAAAAAAAGTCCAAACATTTATTTAGCTCCTATCTTGTACCAGACAGTGTGTAAAACACTAGGGATTCTAAGTGAAACAAGTCATGACCCCTGCCCTCAAGGAGTTTACATTTCAATCATAGTCACAGAAAATTACCAAGTTGATAATGAAATGTATATTATTTAGCTTATCATCAAAAACATATAATCTTAAAATTCATTGAATAATTCAACTTTAAGTTGGAAAGTACCTTAGAACAATACCTCTCAAAGTTTAATGCATATAAAGATTATCTGGGGATCTTGTTAAAATGCAGATTATGATTCAGAAGGTCTGAGGTATAGCCCAAGATTCTGCATTTGTGACAGGCTCTCAGGCAATGCAGATGCTATGCTGTTGGGCCATGGAATACACTGCAACTAGCAAGACTTTACAGAACATTTGACCAATTTATTCATCTTATAGCTGAGTAAACTCAGATTTGACCATATAGCATAAAATAGTGAACTGCTACTAGACCAAAATTTAAGAGTCCTGAGTTGATATGGTGGTAATTTTTAAATACATTAACAGACTTTCTGTTTAAACATGATGAACTCTAAGAAAGAAAACTGACTTCATAAACTATACTGCTGATTACTACCATACAACCAGGGAACTAGAAACAATCTTGCTTCAAAGAGTTTTCCTAACTTACCTGAGGTCTCTGAAGAAAGTTCAGAAGGTTGACTGTTGAATGGTTTCTGTTGCTCTAGTTTTTCTAACACAAACTCCTCCTCTGTTGGCAAGTTGTGCTTTGGGCCCATGGCTGTGACTGGTTCTAAAGGTAATAGTAAAAACCACACATAGATTAGCACTATTTCAGTTATTTTTTTACCTGCCAGAAACTGGATATGGGAATCATTTCTGAGAAATTATCCCATGAGGGGAAGCAGAAAAGTGGAGTGGTAGTTGGAAGTTGGAGTTGTTGGGAGGGTTGTGTTTTCTTCTTAAGATGAGAAAAATAACAAACGTTTCTAAGTTGGTAGGAATGATCTGATGGAAAGAGAATTAAATTGATGACAGGCAAAAAAGCGGAGAACGTCTGGGGCAATATACTTGAGCATGAAAGAAGAGATGGAATCTAGTGTAAAATGAGAAGTGAGGTTGGCTTTAATCAGGAGCAGGAACAGTTTACTTATAAAAACAGTAGAGAAGGCAGATCCCATGGATACTGATACAAATAGTTGGGTAAATAACATAATAGAAGTTTGTGGATGTTTTATTTTATTTCTTAAATTATCTGGAAGAAAAACAAGAAGATCAACAGGGAATGAGGATGGACAAAGTGCTGAAGGTTAGAGAAGGGGAAAGGTGAGAAAGTATTGTCTAGGACAGTAGGAGTATGAATAAACTTGCAAGGTACAGTGTCTTTATTTTACCTGGCATGATGTCTGTCCTTAGTTTTTTGGAGACTACACCTTGGTAGACAGAAATACTGATAGTAAGCATAAGCCCATACCTGGTGAAATCATGAAGGCAGGTGCAGCTGACTGCCCCTCATCCTGGAGAGATTCTAAATGAGAATCCTCAGTTATTCCTCCTTGTGTCTGTGCAATTTCCGTGGCCTTAATTGGAACTTGTGCCACCTCTGTTTCTGAGAGTGATGCAACATCCTTGGCTGGAGTCACACTGTTGGGCAGGGTCACCTCTGTTCCAGGGGGCAGAGCCACATCCTTAGCCAGGGCTATCTCTGTTTCCTGGGGTGGAGCCAGGTCCTTAGTAAGGGACACCCGTGTTTCCGGAGGCAGACACATGTCCTTGATGGGGGCTACTTCTGTTTCTGGTGGTAGAGTCACATCCTTGACCTGGGCCACCTCTGTTTTTGGGGGTGCTATCACATCCTTGTCCAGAGCTATTTCTATTTCTGGGGGTTGGGCCATGTCCTTGAATGAGGCTACCTCTTTTTCTGGGGACAGAGCCACATCCTTGCCCAGGGCCACCTCTGCTTCTAGGGGCAGTGCTATATCCTTGGTCAAGACCACTTTGGTTTCTGGGGGTAGTGCCATGTCCCTGGCTGGGGCCAACTCTGTTTTTGAGGACAAGGCCACCTCCTCGGCTGAGGGTATTTCTGTGGATGATACAATGTCTTTAGCCAGTGCCACCTCTATTTCTGAGAGTGATACCACAACCTTGGCTGGGACTAACTCCTTTTCTTTGGGTGGTGCCATGTCCTCAGGTGGGGCCAAACCCATTTGTATAGGTGGTGCCCTCTCTGTTTCTTTGAACAGTGTCACATCCTTGGCTGAGGCTACCTCTGTTTCTGTGGGCAGTATCACATCCTTGGTCGAAGACACATCTGTTTCTGTGGGCCATATGACATCCTTAACTGGGGCCACCTCTGTTTCTATGGATAGTACCATGTCCTTGACTATGGCTGTATCTGATTGGGTGGAGGGCAGCATGTCCTTGGCCACTGTCACATCTGATTTGGTGGGTGGTCCTGTATCTTTAGCCAATGCCACCTCTGTTTCTGTGGCTGGTGCCATGTCCTTGGCCAGGGCCACCTCTGTTTCTCTAGATGGTGCCATGTCAGTAGTCTTCTTTCCCATCATTTCCAATGCTTTTGTTGGTGGTCTCTCTTCTTCTAATGCCATTTCTACCTCCTCGGTTAGCTCTAAGGGTAAAAAGTTGGAAATTTAGGACCCGTCATTGTCTACTCATACCTCTGCATTCACAACTTACCTTCTTAAGGCATAGGAGTATTTGGCTTTTTTTTTTTTTGCAAGCGTGAAATGAAGTTTATGGAGGAAAAGCAAGACAGGTTTACAGAGCAAGAGCAAGATACATTTGCCACAGATGACAAACAGGTGTGTATTTGCCTTTTGTGACCACAGGACCCTAAACATAACTAAGAAGCTGTCAAGCTAATGTATTCTGCCTACTTTTGATAGTCTCAACACTTAAAATAAGATATAAGATACCAGGAGGATTAAGTAGTAGAAAAGGCAAAGGAGATAACACATAGGCTTAAAAAAATAACACGGGTACAGAATTATTATTAGACAGAGAACCTGTGGGAGAGCAGGTCAGTCATCCTTCCTATCAAGAAAACCCCAGAGTTCTAAATCTGTACTGAATTTAAAAAGAATTTTCTTTGCCCATTAACCCCAAGTGTTGTATCTCAATTGCAATTTAATTCCCCCAGCTGTGATATCACTAATATAAGCTTAAAAAAATTCATGATAGTTCTAAAATGTTTACCTATATTTGCTGTAAACTACTAAAAAAATACATCTGATGATTTATATTGATCATCAATAGTCCAATCATTAACTGATAAAGGAGGTTTCTAATAATTTACCTGCAGTTGGCTGCAGAGGTTCTGTAATGGCCTCTGGGGAAACAAAGGATTCTGAGTGTGGAGAGTTTGGGGCTTCCACAGACCACCCCTGAGGTACAGCAGTTGCAGGAGCAAATGTGTCGCAGGGAGACATACCTAAAATTGAAACAAACAAACACATCTTTGAAACTTGGTCAATATTGAAAAAAAAATGCATTTGACACTTAAGATCAGCTGTGTATATTGCCATGAAGACACAGACCTAGCATCAATAAAAAACAAAGCACAAAAGTTTTAAAGGAAACACTGCTGACATTCTTTAGGTTTTGGCTAATTGTTAACAGGAGGTATAGTATCAATATATCCTGGTAGCACCATTAATCAACATTTATTGGCTACCTTCTACAGGGTATTGTAAAGATTCAAAATACCAAAGATTGAGCTCTAGTTCCAACACCACAATCACTGTACTATAGTGTATAGTAAGGAATTGTATTTCTTCCAACATGTGTATTTGGAAAAAAAGAAAAAAGGGATAATTGTAAGCCTTAATTTTTTTTTCTTTTAAATTTAAATTTCTGTGAACAATCAAGTGAGATAACTCACTACCTTCAGACCAGCCATGTAAGCCTTAATTTTTTCATCTGTAAAATGAGATTAATACCTCCTTTCCCAACATTAGAAGACAATTTTATAAAAATACCTTGTATATTAAAAACTAGACAAATGTAAGAGGATTATTATGCTGTCCTATGCCAGACACAGCAGGGGATTTAATATCACAGGGTCTCTGCCATTGAGATTATTACAATTTAGCTAGAAAGGTAAGGTAGACATATATCAAATAACACATACTGTATAGTATGGACTAAGTGCTATAGGATTTCAAAAACAACCATGACAACCAGAATAATCACAGAAGGCTTCAGAGGAGAAGCAAGAGCAGAAATAGAGGTGATGGTAGTCAATTTCAAAGATAACAATGAACAAAGGAAAGCATAAAATGCCAACAGGACAAGAATGTTTCTGGAACTATGAGATCAGTTTGATTCAAATAGATTTTGCATATTGCAGAGTGAAAATAGGATTAGAACAAAAAAAAAAATAAAAATATGAAAAAAGAATCTTGAAACCCAGTCAGAGAAATTTAGACTGGAAGGGGGAAAAAAAAATACAGTGTCTTTTAAAGTCTTTTTTTTTTTTTTTTTAGAGACAGAGTCTTACTCTGTTGCCCTGGAAAGAGTGCAGTGGCATCAACCTTGCTCATAGCAACCTCAAACTCCTGGGCTCAAGCAATTCTCCTGCCTCAGCCTCCCAAGTAGCTGGGATTACAGGTACTTGTTACCACACCAGGTTAATTTTTTCTATTTTTAGTTGCCCAGCTAATTGTTTTTTTTTCTATTTTTAGTAGAGATGGGGTCTTGCTCTTGCTCAAGCTGGTCTCAAACTCCTGAGCTCAAGCGATCCTCCCACTTCGGCCTCCCAGAATGCTAGGATTACAGGCGTAAGCTACTGCCCTGGCCTTGAAGTCTTAACTATGGAAATGAGAAGAAAAATATAGACAGGGGTTCAAAAGGGTCAATTTAGCAGGTATAGTCACAATGGATTAGAAAAGGGAGCAGGGTCTGGGTGCAAAGGCTGATGCCTACAATCCCAGTGCTTTGGGAGGCTGAGGCAGGTGGAGGACTGCTTGAGGCCAGGAGTTCAAAACCAGCCTGGGCAACATAATGATACCACCCTCCCCCTACCAAGGGAAAAAAAAAAAAAGGGGGGAGCAGGAAGGCTGATTTGGAGACTACTTGGATGGTCTACATAAAAAGTAATAGGTGATTACACTGGGGAAAAGCAGAGGAAATATGGAGGAAGAGAAGAAAGATGCTAAAAGGAAAAAAGTCTATGCAAGTAGATGACTCATTAGTGAGCTGAAAGAACGGAAGTCAAAGCCAATATAAAAGTATCAGATTAGATGGATAACATCAATAGTCAACTCATTTAACATCCTTTTTCCAAGAGATCTTCAGTCCATAGAAAAACATAAATAAAACATATCATTAGGCCTAGCACAGTGGCTCACACTTATAATCCTAGCACTTTGGGATGCCGAGGCAGGAGGATGGCTTGAGCTCAGGAGTTTGAGACCAGCCTGGGTAATAGTGAGACCCCATCTCTACAGAAATTTAAAAAAAAAAAAAAAAATGAGCCAGGCATGGTGGTGCATGCCTATAGTCCCAGCTACTTGGGAGTCTGAGGCAGGAGGATCACTTGAGCCCAGGAGTTGGAGGCTACAGTGAGCTATGATTGTGTCATGCACTCCAGCCCAGGCAACAGAGCAAGACTCTGTCTCAAAAAAGAAAACAAATCATTAGCCAGGATCTTTACAAATATAAAATTATAAGCATTGTTTGAATGATGTGTTAATAAGTCCCTGGCCACATTTACATTAAAAGTTACACAAAACCAAGAATGGGGATACTAGTATTTTTTGATAACTAAGATCTGTTTAATGTTTACTATGTACCAGACACTAAACTGTTATACCCACCACACCCTTAAGTTAGGAATTAGTGCTGGTTCAGTTTTATAGATAAAAATCCCAAGTTTAGGGAGGAAGTAACTTGCTCAAGATCATGAGCTAATAAAATGCAGACACAGAATTTGACCCTAGGTTATAGGACTCAAGGTCCTATGAGAGGACAGTCAGCAGTCCCTGAACAGCCCAACTGTGAATTTCCTCCTTTGTGATCGTTTGGAGTTAAGGAATTGTAGAAGACCAGAATATGCCATCCCAAAATATGCCACTTTGGTGTAAGTATTATTTTGAGCTGAAGCCTCAAGAAGGCACCACAAGAATCTATATAACGAACTTTACTAATTAGCCTGTATCTACCATTTATGTGCCTTCTATAATTTGTAGCCCCTAGAGACTCAAAATCCTTTTCCTTTTTCTTGTCACTTCTCAAAAATCTTTTATCATTCAAAGTTGAAGATTTTGTATATAAGCTGGAGTTCTAAAGCCACCTCTTACAGAATTACTCATTCCCTAAGTACCTCCCATGTATATATGAAATACACATGTTAAACTCAGTTTGTTTTTTCTCTTGTTAATTTGTCTTTTGTTATAGGGGCCCCAGCCAATAAACCCAAGATCGGTAGAAAAAAAAATTTTTTCTCCTTCCCTACAGAATAAATTCAGCTGGAGGAGCCATACCATAACTATCTTTCAGTGGATCATTTTGTCCTATAAATGTTGAAGCATTGGCTGTTCCGCTGGAGAGAAAGAACAAATCTGCCAGGCCATCATCATGGTGCATCTTAAAGGGATCTGGAATAAAGAAGAAATACAAAACTCATTTCCAGTGAATGCAATTAGAAAGATTAACATTTCTTATTATCCTATGATGAGTATCGATTAGCTACATATATGTTGTCAGTAGCAACTTAAACAAGTTGAGATCAAATGTGACTGCACATGGTAGGGAATCAATTAATGTTCACTTGCCAAGAGCAGTGGCTAATGCCTATAATCCCAGCATTTTGGGAGGCCAAGGTGGGAGGATTGCATGAACCCAGGAGTTTGAGACCAGCCTGAGCAACATACTGAGACCCCCCCACGGAAAAAAAAAAAAAAAAAAGAAGGGATTGCAGGGCCTGAGAATCCGCATTTCTAACTCTGTTCCTTAGTGATGTTAATGAATCACTCTTTTTTTTTTTTTTTTGAGACAGAGTCTCACTCTTTTGCCAGGGCTAGAGTGCCGTGGTGTCAGCCTAGCTCACAGCAACCTCACGCTCCTGGGCTCAAGTGATCCTACTGCCTCAGCCTCCCAAGTAGCTGGGACTACAGGCATGCGCCAACATGCCTGGCTAATTTTTTTCTATATATTTTTAGTTGTCTGATTAATTTCTTTCTATTTTTAGTAGAGACGGGGTCTCACTCTTGCTCAGGCTGGTTTTGAACTCCTGAGCTCAAACAATCCGCCCGCCTCAGCCTCCCAGAGTGCTAGGATTACAAGCGTGAGCCACCGCGCCCGGCCCTCTTTAAGGTACTTTTTAAGGCACTTCAGTTGTCAGAGGCAGGTGCATAAAAGCTCAGACCTTGAGAGAATGTTCATGTCCTTGGCTCTGAGGCAGCTATACCACTCTTTTTGTAAGGAATTTCAGGATTTGGGGAGTATGAATAAGCAGAAGGCAAATTTGAGAAAATGTTGGGGATAGAGGAGGCCCCAATGCTTCTCAAGAAAAGCAGGGAGATAGAATATGAGAGAGATTATAAATACTCATTCTCTCCAGTTCTATATGGTTTAGGGTGGCTGCTGCTTACTTTGCCTTTCACATGTTCCTAGAAGAAAAATAGGATGCTTAAAGAACCAGAGTAAGTGCTGTATGGTTTGTACTCAGGATGGGAGACTGCTAAATCACATGCAGAAACGGATCATTTCTACAGCATTCTGTCAGTTAATCATTAATGTTTTATTGGGTGCCTACCACGTGGCAGACCCAGTGTGCTCTAAAAAACTCAAAGATGTACAAGGTCAGAGATGGGAACATTTAGCAGAGGGGTATATTTTGGTTCAAGTCAAAGAAGATCTTCTCCTTCTCCTTCTACTTAAGCAGAGAACTGAAGAATTGAGTCATTATGGGGAGAGGAGCAGGCATTTTCTCTATCTACATTCCCTCTCATCTGATCTCATAATTTAAAATTCCATCAATAGGTTGACGACATCCAAATTTTTAACTCCAGCCCTCTAAGACTTCTCCTCATTTTTCCAGATTTTAAGTCAAATTCCAAACTTTTTTTTTGAGACAGGGTCTCACTTCTGTCCCTGAGCTAGAATGCAGTGGTGTGATCACAGCTCACTGTAGCCTTATACTCCTGGGCTGAAGCCAACCTCTTGCCTCAGCCTCCCAAGTAGCTGGGACTACAAGCACGTGCCACTGTGCCCAGCTAATTTTTCTGTTTTACATAGAGATGGGGTGGCGCTCTTGTTCAGGTTGGTCTCAAACTCCTGACCTCAAGAGATCTTTCCACCTCTGCCTCCCAAAGTGTCAGGATTATAGGCGTGAGCCACTGCACCCTGCCTTCTCACCATTTCTATTCAATATTGTAATAAAGGTTTTAGTCAGGGCGATTAGGAAAGAAAAATAAGTAAAAGACATCCAGGTTGGAAAGGAAGAAGTAAAACTGTATCTGCAGATGACATGACCTTATATACAGAAAATTCTAAGACGTCGACTTAAAAATGATTAGAATTGGCCGGGCGCGGTGGCTCACGCCTGTAATCCCAGCTCTCTGGGAGGCCGAGGCGGGTGGATTGTTTGAGCTCAGGAGTTCGAAACCAGCCTGGGCAAGAGCGAGACCCCGTCTCTACTAAAAATAGAAAGAAATTAATTGGACAACTAAAAATATATAGAAAAAATTAGCCGGGCATGGTGGTGCACGCCTGTAGTCCCAGCTACTCGGGAGGCTGAGGTAGAAGGATCGCTTGAGCCCAGGAGTTTGAGGTTGCTGTGAGCTAGGCTGATGCCACGGCACTCTAGCCAGGGCAACACAGCGAGACTCTGTCTCAAAAAAAAAAAAGATTAGAATTAATAAATGAGTTCAGCAAGGTTGGGAGATATAAGATCAATAAGCAACAATCAATTATATTTCTATATACTTGCAATGAACAATCTGAAAATGAAATTAAGAGAACAATTCCATTTATATTATCAAAAAGAATTAAGTATTAGGACTAAATTTAACAAAGTAAGTATAAAACTTATACTCTGAAAATACAAGGTATTATTGAAAGAAATAGAATATAAATAAATGGAAAAACATTACATGTTCATGGATCAGAAGACTTAATATTATTAAGATGGCAATACTCCCCCAATTATTAACATACAGATTCAACACAATGCCTATCAGAATCCCAGCTGACTTCTATTTAGAAATTGACAAGCTGCTTCTAAAATTAATGCAGAATTACAAAGGACCCAGAATAGCCAAAACAATGTTGAAAACGAAGAACAAAGGAAATGCACATTTTCCAATTGCAAAATTTACCGAAAGAAACAGTGTAGCACAGGTTGAGCGTACAAAATCCAAAAATTTGAAACCTGAAATGTTCCAATATCTGAAACTTTGAGTGCTGACATGATGCTCAAAGGAAATGCTCATGGAGCACTTCAGATTTCTGGATTACTGCTCAACCAGTAAATATAATGCAAATATTCCAAAATTTGAAAAAATGTGAAATCTGAAACACTTCTGGTCCCAAGCATAAGGGATACTTGACCTGTACTGGCATAAGGACAGACATACAAATCAATAAAATGGAACTAAGAGTTGAGAAATAAAACCATGTGTCTTTGGTTAACAGATTTTCAACAAGTGTACCAAGACCTTTCAATGGGGAAAGAATAGTTTTTTCAAAAAATGGAGATGGGACAATGGATATCCACATACAAAAGAGTAAGTCTGGACCCATAATTCTCACCATGTATAAAAATCTACTCATAATGAATTAAAGACCTAAATGTAAGAGCTAAAACTGAAATTTTTAGAACATAGGTGTAAACCTTCATGAACTTGGATTTCACAACAGAGTCTTAGATATACCACCAAAAGTATAATCAACAAAAGAAAAAAATAGATAAATTGGACTTCATCAAAATTAAAAGTTTTATGCATCAAATGTTACTTTCAAGAAAGTTAGAAGATAACTGACAGAATGGGAGAAAATATTTACAAATCATAAGTTTGATAAGGATCTAGTGTGAAGAATATATAAAGAACTTTCATAGCATAACAAAAGGACAAATAACCCAATTAAAAAAATGGGCAAAATCTCTGAATATACATTTCTCCAAAAACATATACAAACGGTCAATAAGCACATGAAAAAATGAAAAGATATTCTACATTATTAGTCACCAGGAAAATGCATACCAAAATCACAACATGGTACCATTTCATACCCAGTTTGGTTGGCTAAAATTTTAATTAATTAATTAATTGTTGAGACAGGGTCTCATTTTGTTGCCTGGGCTAGAAAATGCAGAGGCGTCATTAGAGCTCACTATGACCTCAAACTCCTGGTCTCAAGCAATCTTCCTGCCTTAGCCTCCTGAGTAGCTAAGACTATAAGGTGCACCACCATGCCCAGCTAGTTTATCTTTTGTAAACAGGGTCTTGCTATGTTACCCAGGCTGGTCTCAAACTCCTGGCCTCAAGTGATCCTCCTGCCTCAGCCTCCCAAAGTGCTGGGGTTACAGGTGTGAGCCACTGTGCTTGGTCTGGCTACAATTTTTAAAAAGAGGAGAAAACAACTGTTGGTGAGGACGTGGAGGAACTGTAAACCTCACAAATTACTGGTGAAAATGTAAAATGACACAGTTGCTTTGGAAAACAGCGTAGCAGTTCCTTAAATGATTAAAATTGTCGCATAATTGGCAATTCCGATTTAGGCATATATGCCCAAGAGAAATGAGAACATACGTCTACACAAAAACTTGTACACAATATTTACAACAGCATTATTCATAATAGACAAAAAAGATGGCAACCATCCAATGTCATCAGCTGATGAATGAACAAAATACGGTATATCCATACAATGGAATATTATGTGTCCATAAAAAGGAATGAAGTACTGATACATGCCATAAAATACATAAACCTTGAAAATATTATGCTAAGTGAAAAAAGCCTGTCAAAAAAGATCATATATAATATGATCTCACTTATATGAAATGTCCAGAATAAGCAAACTTATACAGACAGAAAGCAGATTAGTGGTTGCTTAGGGCTGGGCTGGATAGGAAGATAGGGGGTGATATATAAAGAGTACAAAGTGATAAAAAAATGTTCTAAAATTGACTCTGGTGATAATTGTATATACCTGTGAATATACTAAATTCTACTGAATTGTACACCTTAAATGGGTGTATTATATGGTATGTGAAGTATATCTCGATATATCTTCTTTTTAAATTACCAAATATCTAGGAAAGCCAATAATTGAAGAATGGTACACAACATCAAGTACTAGGTCATTTGGAACCAACTATGAGCATCTTATAAGCTATTAGCAAAAAAGAAGCCATATATAAATGGAAACAAATAACTTGAGCTCTCTACTGACACGGAAGTAGCAGTGCTACTCCTTTGAGGACTTTTTGCAATTCATTCCTCCTATTATATTACCTCTGGCTCTGGGCAACTACAGATAGAAATTGGCTAAGAGTCAGAAAACTCTTCTGTCAAAAGAGGGTTCTATATATTTGGCAGAGTT